TTTCCTTTTAGTTCTCAGTTTATTTGATATTGACAAAAGTTAGTCAATTTTGTCTGTTCTTCTGTAAAACAAACTAAGATTTATTTTTAGAATTAATATTTTGTTTCTAAGTCGAATTGACAATTCAGTCTGTTTCGTTTGTTCTATTTTGAAACTTAAACACTTTAGCGGCTGCCTTTTGTGTAGTTTGCAATATTTGCCTTTATTTAGCTGAAAAAGTCTCATGTTCCTTAAGTACAGCTACCCTGTTGAACTTATTATAGGAAATAAATATTTAAATCAAAACAAGCTGCTGATTATTTCACATTTTACTTGTAAGCAACGGCACATTTAAATCTTACAAATATAGTTATTTGGCTTATATCGTGATATAAATCGTTATCGCCTGAAATGAAAAAAACATATCGTGATATGAAAAAATCTCATATCGCCCAGCTCTACTTTGAGCTCTCTTTTGGTCTCCACCTTGGAAAGCCAACATGATGTCATCCATCTCATATTTTTTAAAACCAGACATTGTGAGTGCAGGGTAGAACTAACTATGAAACTGTGTGACACAGCATGCTGAATAATTAATGATCTGTCAATATCAAGACATTAGCCAATGATCACACCCTGCTTTATCTTAAATTCTGACACTAATAAAGAGCACACTTTACAAGTTTTCCATCATTTTGTCTTTAGAATGACTTGAAACTACCAACCAAGTGCATAATCTGATAAGGAAAGAGTTTAATGGGGTCATACAGCAAGCAAAGTGGAATGCACTTACACATGCTGGCTTCAGTTTTCTGATCTAGAAGCTACATCCATATTTTGTAATCAGTCTGGGTGTTAACCATCTAAAGCTACAGCACATTCAAAACAAATTCATGAACTCTGAGATGTTAACTTGCAATGTGGTGTCTGGTTATTATACTGCCAGTCCTAACAAATTACCAAGAGTGATAAACTGCATTATAAAGTATTATGAGTAGTGATCTAGCTGTTCACTTATTCATTTCAAAATTAATGTAATCACATTGCTTATAAAAAAATATGAACAAGCTACATAGTTATTGGCTACAGGTATGAATCTGCATAATGAACTGAGCAAAATGACTCAGTGCCTCCTCTGGCTAAAGAACTATGGACACGGATTAAACCAAGCACAATCTTCATTAGTCTTCATAAGACTAATATGCACTTTAAATCACAATCATTAGATGAGTCAGCTTTAATTCCCCACTTTAAGCCTTCTGGTTTATATTTCACTCACATACTGGAGGGATTTGTGCCCAGTTTATTAGAAATCAAACTTGTGAAATGTTTGTTTCGGAGCCATCAGTCCCCTTCAAACCAAACAAAAAACCACATAATCTGTTTAATTAATATCTCCAAAGCAACCCCACAGACACAGGCATCTTAATAGACCTAAAATATTGCATCTCACACCTAATGTATGTTCATTCAGAGTGTACACAGTGGACACAGACGTTCTCTTTTAATACTTAGGTTTGATGATTGTCCCTGAAAATCTGTGTGACTCAGTCAACCTTCATCTCAGGATAGAAGCCAAAGGTTCTGTTGTTCAACTTTTTTACCTTTTCAGTAACCAGAACAGGTCAAGTAGGAGCTTTCACAGATCACAGAGCAAAGGGAAATGATACCACCTCTTACCTGACAGCGTACGTCATGCGGTCAGGCCTCAGGGCTCTCATAATGCACAGTCTCTGGAGTGAGCTTTTGCTCTTCCATTCCTGTGGGAATTTCTCTTTTTCCGGACACTCGGACTCTACAAACTTCTTCCAGCGTTTGGCTGAGCCTTCAATGTCTCTGTCCAGGTTTCTGAACTCATCCATGGAGCAAAGAGACTGGAGGTTTTGGAAAAGAAATAGGATTTGTGGAGGGAAACAGTGCATGTTGTTAAAAGAGCTGCTGCACTGCGATCAGTGATACACATTAAAGTTCTTGATCAGAGATATTTTTCACAATGCACAGTTTAAAAAAAAAGAGTCTGTTTGCAAAATATGGAGAGTCATAAAAAACAGAATGCTTATCTTTCCTCATGTCCTTATAAATAATATTTATTCAAACAGAAATGCTGAGTAAACACAAAGCTTTCATAACGGGACAGGGGGTAGGGGAGCACTAAATATGCATCTCTTGCAGAACCAGTGAGGGCTTCATTGTGATGCCCCAGATGACAGACACCTCATCTCATCTGCAGAGAACAGCAGTGTCACGCAGTGCAGCCTCAAGCAGCTCTGCTGTCTCCCGCACTGTGCAAACTATGAGCAGGATGCTGAAATCTTCTCTCAGCAGCGACACAGAATACAAGGTGTCAAGGCAAAAACATCCCGTATCACTCTATGAAACCAACCCCTCGACACAAGCCATGAGGGGAAGTCATAGAGTAGAGTGAGAAGGAGCGGCTCGGCACACATTACCTTCACTGCGACTCAGTTTAATTACTACAGGTGGTTGGCGACCGATCAGCCCCAGTGTAATGAGAAACACTGGGTCCCGAGGGATTCCAGCTCTGCTAATATCATCAACTGGGGCAAGCAATCAGAGGACGTTATCCTCCTTTAAATCTTTCCAACTGATTATGTTTCCAACTACGATAAGAAAAATCAAGTGACAGAATTTGATTAGCAGGGACTTAAACATCCACAGCAGGTTGAGAGCAGTTACAGAAAGGCCATCTCTTAATCCTCAGAGGGGTTTAAGGTTAAGTTAATATTGAAGGCGATATAGAGTGAAATATTCATGAGCACGAGGGGCTAAAAGACATGCTGCAGTTAGGGTTTACTTTGCTGTTAAACTCATCTGACAAGATAAGCAACCTCTGCTGTCCACAGCACTGCGTTGCACTGAGAGAGACTCTGAGTTTTTCTTCTAGCACCCTTCAGTGTTAGAATCTAGCGGGGTGACAGAGCACAGTGGGAGCCTGGAGACTGCATGCTGTCAGACTGGAGTTTTGGGTGATACAGAGATATACACTCCAATTATGTGCATTCACTTTAGTGCAGACTTGTTGGGAAAATCCACTGTACATACTGCGCACTGTGTGGAGCCGATAAAGGAACTGGAAGATATTAGCCTTGAATCTCGCAGATGACAAGGTGGAGGACAACAAAATTTAGAAAGAAATAGAAGTGAATTTGTTTTTATTATCTTTTAGAGATTTCAACATATAGGATGGGATTCTAAAAATAGGGCTGATCTACAAGTTATTACATCTTTATGAAGTTCAAGACGGAGCTCTAGCTTTCTGAAAGAACAGCTTATTTTGATGAATTCATCAAATTCACACTTCACAGTGCAGCTTTGTACCATTACAGCCAAGAAGGTCTAAGGAGCTTGGAAAGAAAAGCATCTGGGCTTCTTTAAGTTGCTTGAAGACGTTTCACCTCTCATCCGAGAAGCTTCTTCAGTTCTAAGGTCGAATGGTGGAGAGTCCCAGACTTTCCCCCCCAAAAGGGACATGGACCCGCCTAATGATCCTCTACCTAATCACGTGAGCCAAGGAGTGAAAAAAATATTTATTTTAAGAGAAATAAATAATATATTTATTTAAAAACCCTTTCATGTGATTTCCAGAGATCAAAAGACCTATTGTGACCTACTCCCGTTTTCACACTCATGTGTGGCTCATGTGATTAGGTAAAGGATCATTAGGGGGTCCATGTCCCTCTTGGGGGGAAACTCCTATAGGGCTTAAATCTGGGAGTCTCCACCATTTGACCTTAGAACTGAAGAAGCTTCTCGGATGAGAGGTGAAACGTCTTCAAGCAACTTAAAGAAGTCCAGACGCTTTTCTTTCCAAGCTCCTTAGACTACAATGACCTGGATGACGGAGACCCTTTACAGACCTACAGCCAAGAAGGTTTCTACTGTTGGAAGTTTGAATATTATCCAGAATTTCACAGGGAGCCAGTGAAGTTCCTGAAGAACAGGGGTGATGTGCTGGTAGGAGGGGGTTCTGCTGATAATGCGAGCAGCAGAGTTCTGAACCAGTTGAAGCTTATGGAGGGATTTTTGGGGGAGACCATGCAGAAGAGAATTGCAGTAGTCAATACGGAAAGTAACAAGACTGTGGACAAGAATGGACGTAGACTGGGTGGAAAGAGAAGGAAGCAATCTGTTAATGTTGCGTAGACGGAAGTAGGCAGAACGGGTGAGATTATTGATGTGAGATTTATAGGAAAGGGAACTGTCTAGGATGACACCAAGGCTCTTAACCTGAGGAGAAGGGAAAACTGTGGAGTTATCGATGGTGAGTGAGAAATGGTTCGCCTTCAAAAGGTTGGATTTGGTGCCAATAAGGAGGATATCAGTTTTATCCTCATTGAGCTTTAGAAAACTAGAGGTAAACCAGGATTTTAACTCGGATAGACATTCTGAAAGGGAGGAAGGTGGGAGGGAGGAATCGGTTTTGCAAGAGAGATATAACTGGGTGTCATCAGCAAAACAGTGAAACTGAAGATCAACTTTGCAGAAAATGGTACCTAGAGGGAGGATGTATATTATGAAGAGGGCCTAAAACTAAGCCTTGAGGTACACCAGAGGTGACGGGGAATAGACGAGAGTGGAATGATCTTAGTTGAATAAACTGGGAACGGTCGAGGAGATATGATTGAAACCAGGCGAGGGGTGTGTCAGAGATGCCGAGAGAGGAAAGTCTGCTTAGAAGTACAGAGTGAGAAATGGTGTCGAAGGCTGAACTCAGATCTAAAAGGACGAGAATGGTGAGAAGTCCAGAGTCAGCTCCGAGATCGTTGGTGACTTTAAGTAAAGCAGTTTCTGTACTGTGACATGAGCAAAAACCAGACTGAAATCTCTCGTAGATATTATTATTAACCAGGTGTAAGTTGAGCTGCAACCACTTTTTCGAGTAGTAAAAATCATACTGGAAAATGAAAACATATTAGGGTGATTACAGACTATGAATGAAATTTTGTAATTTCAGTAACGTAGTGGAAAAAGCAAAGAAAACAAAATATAGATGGAAAAATATGGTCAGATGTTGTCACACCGGCATTTAAAGAGTCCAAGAAAGGACTGAGTATAGGCTGCACAACTAAGGGTGCAATCCATCAGCGCGTATTCCAGGAATCCTCCAGGCTTTTCAACAAGTAGAGACCGAAAGGTTCTGAAAATCAAAATTGCTTTTAAATATCTTTGGGCCACCAAAAGTTACAGGGCTCCCCTACAAACACAGAATGATTTCTAGTAAAAACACAAACTTGTTTTCATCAAGGATCTCCAATTTTACAAGAAGAGTTTCATATAATGCAAAGTGAGCACATTTCTTAGCCACAGACTGAAAAAAAAACAAAAAACAAAACCATGAAGATAGCTACGGAAAAAAGGTTAAAGTCTGGGACTGGGCTTAATTATTTCTGAGAAACAGAACAAAAGTGTTTGTAAGTGAAAAAAAAATGACCTTTGATGCCAGTCTGAATAAGAACACACTGATAAATCAAATATGTATCTATATATAACCATATTTTTCTCTCTGTGTGTCTCTATATGAATCATAATGTTATAATGGTATATACTGGGGGAAATAATTATTTGATCCCAGGCAGGTCTGTATATGTGCCTTAAGCCAGGGGACCTTGAGGACACTGCAAAATGTCAATACTTTAAAGCGTGTGTTACCAATAGTGTTCTTAGCGACTGTGGTCCCAACTGCCTTCAGATCATTAACAAGCTCCTCCCATGTTTGGGGCTGATCCACCACCTTTCTTGTGATCATCTACACTCCATGGAAGATTGATGGTTATTATATACTGTATTTCTTTCATTTTTGAATAATTGCACCAACAGCCTCTCACAAAGCTTCTTGCTGATGCTCTAGTACCCTATTCCAGCCTTGTGCAGATCTACAGTCTTGTCCTTGACATCCTTCGACAGCTCTTTGGTCTTGACCATGATGGTGGAGAGGTTGGAATGGAAGAAAATGATTCTGTGGACAGGTGTGCTTATCTGTGATTGATTGTAACCTGGGAACCACATGGGCGCACAGGCAATCTGTGGGAACCAGACTTCTGGATGGTCATAGAGTAGTCAGTTTCTAATTTTTGTGTAATGTGTTTTTTCCTGGATTTATGGTGGAGATCCTTCTGTCTTCATTTAAACAAAACTACCATAAAAATTAGAGATTGTTTATTTGCTTGTAAGTGAGCAAACATACAAATTCAGCATTAGATCAAATAATTATTTCCCCAACTATACATGTTACACACTAGTATTCAACATGTTTTTAATTTTAAAAAATGGTTGAAAATGAGGGACAGTTAACTCACAGAGGTGGAGGAAATCTTTGACACGGGAAGTTTATCCATTTTGTGTGTGTGTGTGTGTGTTGGGACAGTTACTTTAAGACACAACATCACATATCTCTGATTTGCTCAGGGACTGTGAAAAAAAAGATCGAGTTGTGCCCTTTCACACTGCCTCTTTTCATACCTTGATCCCCCCCCAGGAGTGGTTAGATAGGAACTCCACTGGTGATGTTACACCTGGTTGGACAGGGTACCTCAGGAGGAAGTCTAGCTCTACAGGGTTTATATCTTTATTCATCAGGAGTATCTGGGCACAAAACAAACAGGAATAACTTTACAATGATGCGTTTTCGGTACAAAGCACATCTCCTTTCTACTTGATTAAACCCAAACAGGGCCGCCGGTCTCCGGAGAAGCCTGTTCAGCAGCAAACGTGTGCTCAAAAACAAACCATGCAGAGGATGAAACCGGATGCACCTTCCTACCTGGAAAGCGAGCTGAGCGATGTATGTGAGCTTGTCACACTCAAATAGGCCTCTGGTGGTGTACTGGAAGACTGAGGAGGTGATGCTGTCAATTAGGTTGGACACCCGCTGCTTTAGACCTTCTGCAGGCTCAGCCTTCAGAACTGCTTTCTGGAAGACCACACTAAACGCCTGAGGACGCACAGGAGCAGGTACAAAAAGCACAAGAATAACAGTACTGTTAGATACAAACTCATAAGCTAATCCAATAAAGCAAATGATAACCCAGCAATTGGGTTGTGTTCATACTGATCTTTAAGTATAAATTAGATATCATCAGTATATGATGCAGTGTTCTAAGAATGAACTGATCAATACTACTTTGGCTCTAAAAGGAAAGCCGACAGCTGTAATTGATTACAACGTTTATGTATGTATAAATATTTTATCAATGTGGTAAGCTTGAATGAAAAACTTTAATGGACATAGACAATTTTAAATTATTTCTAAATACAAAAATAAACAAAATAAAAATCTTTTGCAATGGACCTCATTAATAAGTAGGATGTTTTCAAAATCTGGTCATCTGTGCTACAGAGCTCCAATTTTTAAATTACAGCTCAAAGCTCTTTTTGCTATAAGGTAAAGACCCTAAAGTATTAGCTAGCAGACAACCAGATAAATACCAAAGAGGCAAAAGAAGAGACAAGGACAAAGCAAAGTGAGAGTAGACAGCTAATAACATGCAGAAATAGCACATAAACATATATAAACACTAGGGGTGCAACGATACTCGTATCAATATTGAACCGTTCGATACAGTGCTTTCGGTTTGGTACGCATATGTATGAACAATACAACATTTTTAATTTATTTTATCAACTTTCCTTCTGACGATGCTGTCTGTGTTGAGCGATCAGTGGCTCTGCGCTCGACAGTGCAGCCTAGGCGGAGTAGTCGAACACAGATTCACTGAGCGCAGGGCAAGCTAGCAGACAGAAGCTAAGCTCGTTGCAACATGGCAAATTGAACCTCCCCCACCCTCATTCAGATCTGGCGTTTGGATCTATCTTGGTCTTCATGTGACGTATGACCCTGAAGGTAAGCGCGTCATGGACAAAAGTAAAACAGTATGTTGGATGTGCCAGCAATGCTCAATTACATTGGTGGGAACTAGTGTGTTAGCAGGTTAGCTCGTTAACGTGTTGGCCGTCCAGCCCCACGCACGGGGCGATCCGCGGTAGCTCGTTAACGGAGATTTGCCGTGTTGTGGCACAAAAGAAGCGCGTATTATCGGAAAAGTGGTTGCAGGAGGTGAGCTGGCTTCAAACAAATGATGAACGCACAGAGATGTGGTGCAGAATGTGCCGTGAAAATTTAATAAATGACAAATTTAAAAGGCATGAACATTTTTTTTGTATCGAAAAAATATCGAACCGTGACACCAAAGTATCGAATCGAACCGAACCGTGAATTTTGTGTATCGTTGCACACCTAATAAACACATAAGGAGTGAAAGGTTCTCAGTGCATTATGATCACACAGCAACCTGAGCCTATAGCACTATTCATTGGTTCAGGGAGCTTTTCTAACTTTCTAATAATTGTTGCTGCACTGGATCTGACTTCTGATTCCAATATCACGTCATACTGTGATCCTTCAACATACTGAACCATGCAGAGTTTGAAGTACTGGAGAAACAGTTTGTTTGCACTTTTTGCAGCGACTGTAAAATGACTTATTACCACAGAAATACAATAATTGTCCTCTTTCACTGAAGGAAATGTGCTGTCATTTCTGTTCATTTAGCAGAGTCACACTTAGCTCTCAGTTTGTATACAGAACACGTATTATAATGTATTTCATTTCATTCACAAGGTCAAAGGTACATAAACACTGAATGTGTTTTCATTTTATTATGTTGGGAAATAAGACGGGCCGAGGCAACTACCTGCGGAGTCGGAAGAGATTGCAAACAATATCTCAGGCTGCCTTCTCTCAGCACTGCCTGGCTGACAATATGAAAGACATTATGCTCTACATAACCACATTAGGGAGCCACAAACACAATAAAAGCAGGGCAAAGAGCATAAAACACATTGAGCAAATGGAAGGAGGAGGGAAATAACAGAGAAGTGAGTGTAAAGAAGGGTCTCACTGGGGGCCCATGACAAGGGTCGGTAACATGGTGGGTCAATAGACAGGCTACCTTTAGAGAGAACTGATACATGGGGTGGATTTTATTGAGGTCGTTCATTGTGAAGTACAATAAGGAAGCCCGTGCTGCTGCTGGTCGGAAGTGCTCTCGAGCCTCATTGATTTTGGTCTCCGTCACCTTGGCTTCTTTTACCTGCAGTAAAGTAGTGCAAACGGAATCACGCTCATATACATCAGCACAGACGTGGATATACTCAAGGTCCATCAATCAGTTAATGATGAACTTGTGCACAATCCAATAAAACATACTCCAGTGAAGAGCAGTCCTATTGCAATTTCACGCTTCAAAATGTCCTCACGTTCTGTGGATCATGACAATCATGCTTTTCTTTGTTGTAATAACCAGCAAACGCCTGTGCAATTATGTTAAGGATGAACATCTGCAAAGAAGCGCTCATCTCCTCACAGACAGAAGGCACACTCTAAGATTAAAAAAACACAGAGCTTTTAAGAAGTGCTCTAAACTTATTCATCTTTGGCAGACATCATACGCTGAGCTGATGTGATCTTGTAATCTGACCACAAGAAATAAAGAAACAAAGCAAGGGAAGCAGAGCTGAGAGCATGGCAACACTTTAGGTGACAGTTGCACCTGCAAACGGGTATTATGGAAGAAGTACAGTCTAAGAAGGATAGTGCATTTAGGATAACATTAGAAACAAACTGCACCGATGCAAACGTGTGCAGAGACAGGTTGGCAGATGCAATCAGGCAAAATGCTATGTGGACTATGATGTTCATAGATGAAATGGAACCTGGGGAGGTGGAGGTATGCTTCTGTTTGAATGAAAATCAAACAGAAGCAAGACAGACTACATGGGTCAAGTACAGAGAGTGCACGAGAGATGTGAAGAAGACACTACACAAGTTTCAGGTGTGATTTGCAACAGAAGGAAGGAGCAAGAGCGAAAGAGAAGTTTTACAAGATGGTAGTGAGAACTGCTATCATGCATGGAGACAGCGGCACTGACAGGAGGCCGACGTGGCACAGCTGAAGATATTAGGAGTTTTATTAGGAGCAAGCAGGATGAACAAGATTAGAAATGAGTACATGAGAGGAACAGTTTAGGTTGAACAGTTAGACAGTGAATGTTGAGATGAGCAGAGGAGGGATAGTGGACAAGGGATGTTGAAGATGGAGCTGCCAGGCAGTAGGAAAAGACTTCAGATGGCGTCAATGGTAAGTGCTCTAACGAGAGCTTGTAGTCAGTAGTAACGCTGTCACTTGAAGGCTGTGATGTGTGAGAAAAGATTAAAGTAAATAAAAGACAAAAACCTTTTCTTCGATCTCAGCAGCTGTGCGTTTGGTCGTCTCCAAGTTTTCCACCAGCTCCGTGTCACTGAGGAAATTTCCTGAAGCTGAAGACAAACGGGATAGCAGGTTGTCCTCCAGCGTCTTCAGAGTTATCTTAAAGTCGTTCTGTTGCTTCGTCAGGTCAAACTTTAAACAGGAGAAAAAGAACCTCAAAGACAGCACTAATCAATACAGGCTGCATCAGTTGTCCGGACACATGAAGGGGGTTTTCTGGGATGGATTAACCAGCTTCTGCTTGGTTGCCGACATCAAACTCTTCACCTAACCCTCGGTGTGATGAGGAAGTCGATTTGAATAAGATGGGAGGGCGCTTTGATGGGGGAATTACACACACATCTTTTCTGAATTAGCTTTTACGAGTGTCACGTAAAGGAATGTTATTTTTCTGTCACTATGTTATTATTCACATGCACGGTCATTATTTCATCATTACTTCATTAGTCTGCATCACTTATCATCAGGTTATCACCCATATTATCATGTATCATTTATCATTTAGTATATTTGCCAGAGCACGCAGAATAAAACACATTCTAGATGTGGGTCCACAGTAAGTCAGATGAGGACGCTGAACTTTCGGTGGCCTGGACCTACAATCTTACACAACTGCACACTCGTCTTACACAATTGTTATGTTCCCAAATACTGATGATGGGAAACATCTGGTTTTAAGTCTGGGAAAGAGTTGTTGTTCTGAAGAAGGTGACTCCCAGGAATTGTTCTGACGTCATAAAGGCTATAAAGCTTCCTGTATCGGGCCGAAAGGGGAAGACCGGCTTCCCACACTGTATAATACGTGTGTGTTTAATAAATCACTTTTTGGACACCCCCTAGGACTCTGTCTGCGCTTACTTTTCTTTCCAAATCAAAAAGAACCTTACACGAGATGCCGTGTTTACAATTACGTACCAATGCAGGCATCATGCAGTGCAATAATGGGGTTTATTACCTCCCCAAATGCATTAGAGCAGTCCGTCTTCTAACAAAGCTTTCAATCTAGCAGCTTTTTCTTTTCTTTTTTGGTTTTGGCTTAAAAAAAATTACCTGAGAGAAACTTTCACTTTTTTTCAAAGCCTGGTGTTTGACAGGAGAACAAAGTAGACAGAGCTTCATCCTGCCCTGTCCTTCATTATATTCTGTTGCAGCTCCTTGTTTCCTCCCGTTAATGACTTTGCTTTATTGAAGTTTCCCTTAATAGAAGCCTCTGCGACCTTTGAATTGTTGTAATTACGGGAGGGTGGGCTGTTGTGAGATTTGCCTACTTGGAGCGTTGTCGGGGACGGGTAATAGCACTGGGGTTTTTTGAGTGGCGTGATCCCTGACAGGCGGCTGGTAATACGTTTCTGGCAGTGCTGTTTCTGCCCACGTGTAATCACAGAAGATGCTGATGGGGTGGGGGTGGAGCTGTTCCTCCTCCCTCTGGCAAAACTCACACATGACAAAAGACGCACTTGGCTTCGATCACGCCAGGGGAGCAGATAGTTTAAGAGATCACGATGCTTAATTGTTCTCTTTATGACAGTATTTCCTACTGCTGTGATGAGAGGTATTTCACACCATTGTTAGAACTAATTGAGCCTCTGTTTTGTTGAATCCCAGATGCTTTAAATTGTATGTTATTACCAACTCTGTAACAGAAAAGTTGCACACAGAGAATGAATCGTGGCATTTTAAGGGAAAACCTGACATGTGTGGGGGTGGAAAAGAAAAGAAAAAAGCCTGGTTTGAGTGGTAGACATTTAACTGGAGATATTTGCCTGAGTGACTCAACTGTGACCTTCTACTTGCCTGCACTCTCTGCTCTTGCGGGGAAAAGCTATCCAAGCTAAAACATTCCCAACTGGATCCAGTAATGAGTCAGTTTTTAACGATTAGCTTTCCTCTGGCACATTGTACTTGTAATTACCCTTGCTTTGGAAAAACAAACAATTAACCAGTCAGCAGAACACTCTAATTGGGATTAAAATGAGATATTACATCTATCATTTTTTTTAGGCAAATGATTAGCGAGAGCCAGCGAGCAGCCCTGTTAAGGTAATTTAGGAAGTGGAGCATTTTAGCTCTCATTAATACCGAAAGGCCTGCGCTGCAGCGAAGACGCAAGCATGCACACATGTGCACACAAACACACTTGCATGTGCTTAGGGAGGACCAGACGACGTAGTTATTGTGGTAAAAGGTTGTAGACTCATCCCCCTGTGCACTCTCCAAAAAGGCAACTTGACATTTTAAGCTCCTTAGCTCCATCTTTGGCTTTGCTTAAATGAGAGCGCTTTCACCCAGCAGTCATCTTACGGCTCAGTAGCAACGCTAACCTCATTAAAGGTATAATGGCACAGAGTCGTTCGAAGAATATAAACAGGTACAGCCAATTTGCACTCCCTCATCAATCTGATGATTGTTATCACTCCGGGTTGTTTACTGACAACAAAGAGCCATTCGGCACTTCATTCTGTCGGCCACGTTTTGATAGGAGGGCGTTCGGGAGTGAACACAGCCAGCGACAGCTCACCCCCACCCTCACCCCAACCACCACCCACCTTCAACTTTCAGCGTTAATTAAAATGATAAGTGAGCTCTAGATCTTGTTTTTTTTTTGTCATCCTCCAATCTCAGTGAAATGCTAATTAAACAAGCTTCATTAAATCAAACTTTATTTCTTCTCGATTGGATTTTGCTGAGGGGGCACAAGGCTTAAAATAACTCTGGCGTTTTGGCTTTTTTAACTTCTCTTTTCCCATTTTCATTTATTAAAAATGCTGATTTGACTTTGGATGAAAGCCCACAGGTTGGACTAAAGAGCTGCCCACGGAGACCCAACACAAACAAAGGCACCTCAAGAAACCATCAAAATGCAAATAGGATTGTGTTCGAGTAAATCTGCCTCACCCATTAACAGAGCTCCAACAGTATCTCCCGTTCTGATCTCTCTGAGTCACTGCCGTCAGCTACACTTGTACTCAAGAAGGGATTTCTTATTTCCCCTTCACTCCTCAACTAACAAGAGCTGCATTTAAGGAACAGTGAAAGTGTGTCAATGTGTCGTCTAATTACTGTGGTACAGTAACGCTATCGGCCAATCAGTTTCAAGCAGCTAATATGCACTGCAGCTTTGATCAAGTGAATTTTGGGTTAAATATAAACATCAGCCCATACTATGGATATTGGAGCTAAGAGCTGCTCATTACTTCTCAAAAGTTGTCTACTGAGCTCCCAGCAACTTGCAGTAAATTGCTCACAGTACTGAGTACTGAGCCGGACAGCTGCAGCTGCTGATCAACAGAGTGAAACAGCAGCTTTCTAATCCTCGCTGCCTGAAATAGAATAGCTCTACAGAACAAAGGCAGCCATTTACATTAAAAAGGGAAATACACCTTACAGCGTCGTCTATCTGCATCTCCCTTGATTTTGGAGATGTGTGAACATAAATGAGGCTACCAAAGTAAAACGCTTAAAAAAGCTTAAAGCTCCTTACGGGAAGCATCAAGACAGGATTACATAATTCTCAAAGTTTGATGATAAACGGCAGCGCGTCAAAGGAACAGTACCCAGGGTGACTGCAACACAATGGTAAATTAGCACATGTCAGTGCTTCAAAAGCGAATAGGATTTTTTTGATTTAGGATTAACTGTTTTGCTGGGCAGGGCTTCAAGTGCTTTTTCTGATATTGTCTATCATCAAATGATTTAAGATGGTAACTTGAGCTCATGAAAGCATTTATTTTGGTTTGACCTTGCATCAAAGCAATGTTTCCAGCAATGAAAAGACTGTTTTACTCAAACAAAAGGTGAAAATCAAAGAAAGAAAAGGAAAGCGTGAGGTCACATATAATCATTACTGTTCTGTAATGTCTTTGGGATCAATGTTTGCATAAAAGGTGACAGTCTGCACCGTTTCATTAGGAGCAGAGAACAGTGTGATAGGCTCAATGTGATGCTCACTATACGATAAAATATCTGCCACTGTCGGAGTCAAAGCAGACTTTACATCTGACCATTACAGCCATATCTCTTTGATGTGTCAGCAATTTACATGATTTTTCCTAAATACAGCAAACAGATTGAATAACTGCATGTATTACAAAGGGTTGGCTTGAAGTGTGGGTCAGCTCCCTTTCCTGGTTACATGGAACATGACCAGTGTTGGGGAGTAACGGAATACATGTACCGC